GAATATGTTGTTTTAACCATGCAAATTGACTCAGGTTTGAGGCTCCTGCAAGCTACTGCCAAAATGGCAGTAGATCTGGGAGAATAAGTGACAACTGTGATGAAGACCTTTGGGTGGGACAGGGTATAGGGTACTGGTTATTCTGTCTGCCTACCTCCCTTCTCTTCTGGGAACTACTTCCTCCCAGCCCACATTCCCACCATAGGGTTCTCGTGGGGGCTGCCAGTTATAGAGCCCTGCCCCCCTAGGCAACAGAGTATGCCTAGGCCCCATCAGTTCATTTTGTATTGGAACTAAGTGCAGTACCTCAGCTTCTCATGGGAGGCCTATGGATGTGAGAAAAGGAGTCCTGGTGGTATATGGTGGTTAAAGCACTCAGTTGTTAATCTAAGGGTAGGTGGTTTGAACCCACCAGCCGCTCTGTAGGAGAAAGATGTGGCAGTCTGCTTCTTTAAAGATTTATAGTCTTAGCAATCCTGTGGGCAGTTCTGCTCTGCCCTATAGGGTTGCTATGAGTCAGAACTGACTCAATGGCAGTGGGTTTGGTTTATTTGCAGGGTGTGGGGTCAGAGGCTAACAGTTTTCAGTTGTGTGGACACAGCCCATCTGAGAGGACAAAGCTCCATGAAGACAGAGGAGAGTTCAGGCAGGATTACAGTCATAGAATTCACTCTTTCTGGGACCCAAATACACCACTGACCTTCCTACAATTCTGTGATTCAATAAATGCCCCTTCTTGTATAAGCAAGTTTGAGTTGAATTTGTGTTACCTGCAACCACAAGAGTTCTGCCTATTATAGTTGGTCTCAGGTTAACCATCATGGAATGACCTGACAACCTGCCAACTCCCCATAAAGGCCACAACATCTCAGTATCATTAGCCACCAAGGAAGTCTGGAAGAAATTTCTACCAACTGTAACAAAGAGGAGGCAATGAGGGAATGTTTTGTTGCTGTTGGCCAATCTATCCTCTGAGATGGAATGGTAGGGTCTGACAAGGTAGGAGGAGGCTTTCTAAGTGGGCAGTGCTGTCCGTACCCTCTCTCTCTCCTGGACTTCATCCTCCCACAAGGCAGCAACACACTGCATCCTAGGATTTTAAGCCAGTGGCAGCACAGGTGGAGGTAGAACCCTGAAGCAGGGCATTCTGGGGGTACCACTTTATGAGGTACCACTCA